CCACCTGAAGATTTTAGGAATATATTATCTATTCAGCAGCTTGTCTGTGGCTTGTCCCTGGCTTTGAAGTTGAGATAATGTGCCTATAGCCCCAGTGAGAAGATATTATCATTTAACCCACATATTTAGGCATTGCTTGAGGGGTTCCAGACTTACCCAAAGGCAAAGAAAACAGGACCTCAGTCTTGGAACTGAGGGTAAGATAGAAAGAATGAGCTCCAGGTGACTAAGTGCTTTGGGGAAACCCATGGTACTGATCTGCAGATGATACAGGTGAGAAATTTGGCTGTGAATACATTCCAGTGAGCTCTTACATGTAAGTTCTTGACATAAAAGGGACTGAGCTACAACAGCTCAGATGAATCCCTCCCATTAAATTTCCAGTTTTCTTCCCTGAGTAACTGGCCAGGATTAGGAAAGGAACCCAATCTGAAACAGAAATTTAAATTCTCAGATTTTCCATGACTGAGTCAGAACCTTCCAGAGGCTTCTCATAAACAATAGTCCAAGTCACCTACATCTAAAAACAAAGGCTAACTTCCTGTTATTTTAAACAGTAAGAGCTTTTACACTGAAATAAATGGATAAAATATTATTGTAGCCACTCTCCCATTCCATACCATTTCACCAAAGCATCTCATGTGGGAAATCAACTTTGTTGCATCCACTCTTTTGGAAAAAGACTGATTTTGCCTTAGTTTTTGTTGAAAGAAGAGTAGAAAATATAGATACATCTTAAAAGCTCTCAGTCAGAATTGCAGTCCAGATCTGTTATTTCCTTGGTCTCCACTTTTGCAGTGAAATACCTTGCCTCTATCAAAGAGTTCTTTTCCTAAGGCTACCTTTGGGGTAAAGCTCTGTGGGGAAAGAAATGGATATTCACATTCCCGTCTCTTTCACCAAAGGGACAGAGACCCTGGGTGTTTCAGCCCACTTCCGGCGCATCTCTCAGCATTTTAACAGCCCTGCTTTGTGAAATATGGCAGGGTATGAATGTGAACGGGGACGGGCCTGCAGTTTTCCTTGAAGAACTGCTCCCTTGTGGGGCTGTTGTTTCCTCTCAGAAATTGTAATCTATCGCCACCTGCTGGTCCCTCGTCTGCGTGTTTGGAATAGCAGGAATTGGGTTTAAGATTTACGCAAGATTTGCCCAAATACAAATCACTGTGTCCTCCTTGATTAATTTCTTTAATATTAGAATATTTTCATCTTTTGAATACCAAGGAGGAAGGGACCATTTGACGATTATCTGAGGAACTCAGCTCTCTTCATTAGGAGAAAAGATTGTAATTTCCGGAGTCCTTTCCCTCGTTCTGGCTGAAATTCTGCCTTCCTCACCACCCTTTTAACCCTTTCCTGCCTTTCAGGAGTGAGTATGGTGTGATCTGTTGAAGTAGGGGTGTCGATTTAGCGATGGTCCCCAAAGAAAGTCCAGAATAATTTGGGAACTATCTTTAAAGTACTCAAACACACCGAATAGGCTTTAGCCTCGACTTAAGAAAAGCCGAGTGTAAGGTTAACAACGTTTCCCACAGTTCTCGTCTCAGGAGACAGACGTTTAAACGGTAAGCACTGCCATTTTTTCCCCCTCTTTTTTGGTCATAAATTAGATACTTAAAATAGATCTTAAAGAGCCAGCGAAAATGAACCAACACCGTGGCTCCAAATTACCTTTCCTGGAAGCTAAAAATGCTAAATGCGTTTAAAAGAAAAAAAAAAGTGACATTTCTCATTTACTCACCTTGACGTGGACCATATTTTACGCATAAAAATCTCTCCCGCAGCCTGTTTGGGGCCCCTTCCACGCCTTACTCTCCTCCCACCCATTCCCTTTTTTCTTTTGCTGAAAGGCTCGGCTCCAAATCCGATTGGAATATCTTTAAACATCCCTGGGAAAGGGCATTGTGGGCGGAGGGTCGTGTTCCCAAGTCCCAGCCGTCGCTGACCTAAAGGAAGGTTGTCCTGGGTGGACAGGATCGGGTAGCCAGGGCTGCAGGCTCGGAAACCCCTAACACCCAGGAGAGACCGGAGGGCTCGCGCTCGCCCACTCCTTCCGCCTCTGGGCTCCGCGTTCCCATTTCTTCAAAGCTCTAAACCTTACATCAAATGCAAAAGAAACAGCTGGGCGGACACCACTCCTTTCCGGACCACCCCTCACCACCGGTTCGAGTCCCTGTAGAGGATATCTATTTTCCACCCCAATTGTCCACAGCATCTCCTCCCCACCACCACGGGAGTAATAAAAGATAAAAAGAATAGTGAAAAACAAACAAAAATAGGGATTCCAAATGTTCTAAAGAGCCAAAAGACAAGCACAACAATACTCACTACAAATTCTTACCGAGAAGGAGAGGACGAAATACTCTAATCGCCCAGCCCCCACTCCAACAAGGGGAAAACACCGCAGTTACAGCCGGGAGGGGAGGCGGGCAGGGTCTGTGGGGCCGGTTGGCCGAGAGCTGGTGACTGAAGCCGACTAAAGGGAGGCCTAAGGGACAGAACGGCGGGCGCTGTCCGTGGTCCTTAAACAGCCGCGCCCTGTCTCCCAACTCACTGGCTGTAATTCCAGGCCCTTGGCTCCTTAACATCTCTCTGAGTCCAAGAGTCTAGGTTGGAATGGGAGATAATTGGAAATTAAACCAAAACCATAAGTCCCCAAGTCTGTTACTTTCCCTGCCTAACTGGAATGTCAACTCCATGAGTGCAGAGATAATGTAAGTTGCTGGAACAGTGTAAAACTCCCTGAGAACAGCGCCTGTCGCATAGTAAGTGATTAATAAATATTCGTTTAATTACCTAATTTTTTAATATTTAGTTAAACATTTTTAAATTAAGGACGAGACTTCATTCCCTCCCCCTCCATAAAGGAGAAAGGGAGGGATGTCCTCGCAGTTGGACGGACTCAACTTTAATTTGTGATACCTGCTTTTTGTAGATTTTTTTTGCCAACGGGATCATTTTCTTGGCTAAAACGTTAGGGGTGAACGTTTTGGACACTGGGGTCAGAAGAGGGAGTGGCCGGAAATTTCTCAGTCTCAAGCCACAGGTGAAAGTAAATGAATCTTCCTTTCAGGGGAATCTCGGGTCTTGGGAGAGGGTTGAGGAGCCAGGGCGAGCAGGCATCTTTCTGGGACAACGGCCCCTGAGGGGCATCGGGATTTGTTGCCTCCTCCCGCCAGTCTCCTTGCTCCTTGCGTCTTCCATGATTTAGCACGGGCACTGGGCTCTCTGATTGGTGCAACCATCTCATTTAGGGAGGTCTGAGGAGGGGGCGTGGGTGGAATTCCGAGCCTCATTTCGGAGTCAACCGCACATTTCAAGCATAGCGGTGCAAGGTTTTGAAGGGACCTTTCCTTCGCTGAGTGGGCACGCCCACCTTGCCCAGCCTGGAGCTCCTGCGCCCAGAGTTGCGGTGACTGCCCTCCCGCCGCCGTTCAGGATGCTTTTGGGTCCTTAAAAAGTGCCCGAGCTTTTATTGTGAGGTAGAGAGAGGACAGCAGTATTTTCTTCAGTATCAAGGGCAACGCGGTTATTTCAAACCTCAGAGCGCTATCCCTCTTACTAATGGGACTGTATCTTCTCAGGGCGGAATCTTCGATCTTATTAGGGAATTTTCGGTTATTAGTAAGATTTTCTGTCGTTCAGAGAGAAGGTACGGGCTTCGGTTGGACCAGCAAGGCCGCAGACGTGTCCATAAATAACCCCTGCCTACTGCACAGTAACAGGGGGAAAAAATCACTGTGAAACGAGTAAAGGAATCACTGGTTACACGGTATCACCCAGCCACACACAAAGATCAACTTTTTTTTTTTTTTTTTTGCCCTAAAGGAAAAGACACTGAGGTAGACGAAGGAGGAGAACATATATTAGCGACGAGGCTGGCTGAAGGATGGCTTGAAGAGGCGGGAGAGTAATAGAGCCCAGACAGCCCTTCCAGGGGTTAGTTAGCTCCCGCGGGGAGGAAAGACCCCGCCCGCACAGGGCCTCGCGGTCTCTGGGCGCCTGGCGCCCCCTGGTGGAAAATTTTCGGCGAACGCCTTCTTATTGTGAGGTGCTTTTCCGAACGCGGCAATTCATTAAATATGCTTAAATAATGCAAAGGGAGAATCCTTAAAAAGCGCAAAATCGTAGGGGGGGTGGTGAGGAGAGTGGGCAGAGTAGGGAGGGATGGTCCGCTGCCCACCCCCACCCCGCCCCCTGGGGCCACCTCTGTGCTCGGGTTTCCGTTTGTGTGAAGCCGCGCTCGTGCGTGTTATTAACCTTCAGATGTGATCAATCAGGAGGGCTTCTTTCCCCATTACCAAGAGGACCAAAACTAGCAGGGAGTGCACAGTGGGTGGGAAACAGGACCTTTTCTCTGCGGGTGGCCGTGGGTAGCGGTACTTAGGTAAAGTACTTTGGGGAGGCTCTGAGTTGGATGAAGAAACTGAAGTGAAAGGAGACGGAGTCTCCTCCGGGGTCTGAGTGTTCCCCTCCAATCTCTGCCTCCTTTGCTTTTACAACAGTCCTGGCTCAGTAGAGAGCCAGCGAGGACACAACGCCAGAGCTCGCTTTTACTCAGGTAAGAGTCGCGGGGTCGTAGATCTGGGGGAACCGCGAGGAAAGAAATTGAGGCAAAGCCACTGTTCTAGTCTTCCCGAAAATATGGGAGGGGAAGGAAAAGGGGGAGAGGGATGAAGAAGAAGCACTCAACGAGGCAGAACTCTTCATAGGAATTATCTTTTCCCTCGTCTTACCCGACACCCTCTTTCAAAAATAGAGCATGTTGAGTACGTTCTGGATTACTCATAGGGCCTTTTTTTTTCCGAGCCCCAAACCGTGATCTGGATTTATAATCGCCCTTTAGAGCTCCAGAGGCGATCAGGCACCTGCAAAGGAGCCCCACCGCTCTGCCGACGAGCTGCCCCCGCGAGCAGCGGCCTCGTGATTCCCCCGCGGAGCCGTCCCCGCCTCCCCACTCCGCCCCCGCCTCCCCCGAAGCCTACCAGCTGCCTCTCCCGACCGCTCTCTTCTCCTTCCGGAGCTCGCGTGCGGGACGGTGCTGGCGGGAGCCCGGCGGCAGCTGGAGGTGACGCCGGGAAGATTACGCCTGTGGCAGGGCCGGGGCCGAGCGGATCGCTGCGCGCTGCGCAGAGGAGCGGCAGGAGCGCCCTGCTTGCTGTCGCCTAGCCCAGGTGGGTAAGCGCGCGGCCGCCCGGACTTCCCAGTGCCCGGCTTCAGCTGTTCAGCTGGGTCCTCTTGACCCGCAGTTTCTTGGCCAACCCCCACTCCCAGCGACAGCCATCTACCCTCCCTAGCAGAGCACGTCCCGCCTGCCCTACTCCCGGCTCTCCCTTGGTGCGCGGCGCAGCGACCCCGGCCTTCGCGCTCATCCTACCCCCACCAGCGAAATTCACGCCTAGGGATGCCCAGAGGCTGACACCCGCGCTGAAGTGGAGAGAGGATTTTCCCCATCGCTTCCCGGCTGTGAGCGCCCGTCTCACCAAAGGGCTCCTGAGCAGCAGCTGCCAAAGGCACGACTCCGAGCGGTAACCTGTTACTTCCCCAGAAGCTGCGGTCTACCGTGGCCGGCGTTACAGTATGAATGCGCGCGCAGGGCTAGGTGTGGGATCCCAGGGTGCGTGTGAAGGCGGTGGCGAGCAGGTGCTACTCTGCGGGGTCTTAGATCTACCCAGATTGGCCGGCACCTCTGTCCCGGGGCCTTCGGTAGCCATCGCGCCAGCGCCGAGCGCAGTACAGGGGCGTCGCGCACCGATCCTAGTCTGCCGCCTTCCGAGCGCAGAGGGCAAGTTCGTTTCCCCAGTAATGTTCCCCTTTCTTGCCACACTCAACCTCTTCGGCTTTGTTCAGCGAAAAATCTGGGGACCTCAGAGAGTTGGGTGGAGAGGGAACACAGAAACCCGGACCGAGCCTCGTCCTAGGCTTCCAGATGGCTCAAAACGGGGTGGGACAAGAGGGAGACAAGGTTCCGACCCGCTGCTTTCTGGCTGTCTAGAGTGCAAGGTGACTGTAGTTCTTCCCCGCCAAGTCCGAGAGAGAACGTAAAGATATGGACCCTTTTTTTCCTCTCACCGTGTCTCACCAAAGTCCCCGGTCCTCGGAGCAGTTAGCCTCCTTCTTTCCAGGGAATTAACCAGACACAACAACGGGAACCAGACACCGAACCAGACATGCCCGCCCAGTGCGCACTCCCCCCCGCCTGCCCGCCCTCCGGCTGCTGAGAGCCCAATGGGGCTTGTCGTGGCTCGGCTGGAAAATCATGCACTGAGGCTCCCTTGCCCTCCTAGCCCTATCCCCCCCACCCCTGCGTCCTGAACTGGCCTTGGGCTCCCCTAGTCTCTGCGCTGCACTTCAGGTCACCCCGCTCCGCCGCCAGACTGGAGAGCAGCCCTGGGCTACGTTGCCCGCGCCGGAGTCCCAGAGCTCGCGCACACGTCTCCTCCTCCCCTCGGCGCACCCCGACTCAGCCTGTTAGGTGCCCTTCCTCCCGCCTCTCTGTCCCAAGCCCTGACTTCTCGGGGGGAGCGTCCGCGCCCCCGACCGCTCAGTCGCCTCCCGCGCAGGACCCCGGAAGCCCTCCCCGCACTGCTCTCGCATCTCTTTGCAGCCTGTTCCTGCGCCCGACTGGCCGAGGACCCCGGACAGCAGAGGCCCCGGGACGACCAAGCTGATGGCGTCTTCGACCCCTTCTTCGTCCGCAACCTCCTCGAATGCGGGAGCGGACCCCAATACTACCAACCTGCGCCCCACAAGTAGGTTCTGCCCCAGTTTCCTATCGAATGGACTGCGGGGAAGATGGGGGCGCTGGGACGTGAGGAGGCTGCGCTGGTGGAAAGGGAAGGGGGAGCGTGGAGACGATGGAGGCTGGAAAGAAATGGGGCCCTGACCTGGGTCTCGGCCAGAGGTCGTTTGACTGCCAGAAATGCTAGGCGATTCTGGGGCGCTGGAAAGTGGGAACCACGCAAGGTTCGAGTAGCTGCGATCGTTGGGGGCTTCGCTTCGAGGGAGGGACGGGCGGCGAGAGTGTTGTTTTTGTTGTGTGTGGTTTCTTTGGCTTGGTGGGACGACGGGGGGTCGGGGCAGAGGGCGGTGTGAGGAGACTCTAGTCTCGGCGGGAATAGAGAGTTTTCTGTCTCCAGCTCTCGCTGAGCTGAGACCTGACCCCCTCCTCCTTTCCCCCTGCGCTGTGCTCAAAGTCTATAATCAGCAGAAATTTCGACGTTAATTGCAGCTTTTAGAAAACTCGGGGTCCCTAATTGCTCCAAATTTTCGTGGAGCTATTGACGAGTGAGGGAGAAACCAGGGGCGGGAAAGGTGCATAAAACGGTTTGAGACTGAGCTTCGACATTTTAGACAATTAATTACATCTCAGACCAAAAAAAACAAAAAACAAAAAACAAAAAAACAGCAGCGGGCAGCAACCTGAGTGGAGAGGTGGGGAGCCAGGAAGCGGCAAGAAGCTTTGCCAGGGCGGGAGGAGAGAGCACCCTTCTCTTTTCTCCAGGGCAGGAGATCTGTCAGCAATTGACAGGTCGGCAAAAGAGAAGAAAAGGGGAACCAGATAAAAGGGGGGACGTGAGTTCAATGCTTCCCCACCTCTAGCTCAGTGTGCTCTTCAGCCCATTTCCAGAATTTGTCTTTAATTCAGATTTATTTCCTACCTTTCTGTAGAAGTCTGGCGATGGAAGAGTTGTTTTTCTTTTTTTGCAGTTTGGGTTGAAATGAGTCCCCCTCCCCCAATCTATCAGCTCCAGTAGTAACAGCCCCAGATTTTCTATAGAAGAGGGGTTTAGAAATGGCAGTGTGGTTAGGAGGGCTTATTGCTATGCTTTTATGGCACTTTCTATAGACTTGAGAAAATGTCGATCGTTCCCATCAACGAAGATGGGGGAATGTTATCCGGGGAGCCCCTCTCCAATCCCTTGGCGCAGCCACTGGCACCCGGGCCGGAGGCCTTGTCTTAAGTCCTGAGGTTGCGTTTCAGTTCCCTTTGCAGCTCCCTCTCCCCGCCCCCCAGGCGAGCTACAATTACCCACACAACAAAGAGGGGCTCGGGAGAGCCGCCAGCCCTGATGGCACGTGAGCCGGGCACTGGCGGCCGCTGGCCGGATCAGGCCGGGAGGAACGCGAGGCCTGCTCGCCTTTGTCTGTTGCTCTGGCCTTGATGGATTTTTTTTCCAGACCTCTCCACATTTCCCGCCCCTTTTTTGCTGCCTGACAGGGCAGGGCAACCGCAGTGTTCACCGACCTCAGAGTCCTGCCCCATCCCACCTCACCCGGGTTAACCTTACCTCCCGGCGGCAGCCCGCGGTGGAGCGCATACGCCCAACCTCGGGGCCGAGAACCAGTGGAGGCGCTGACCTGAGTTCGCACATGGCCTGGCGCGCCCGGAAGGCACCGAGGCAGAGGGAAGATAGTCGAGGACCCTGCCTGGGAAGAGCGTGCAGCACCTGTCCTGAGAACGTCGTCGCCTGCCCCCCCGCCCCCCTCCCCCCGGCAGCCCAGCTGCGGGTTGGGCACCCTAGGCTGCAGGCGCACGCCGGGCTCTCTGCCCGCTCTCGTCCTCCCTTGCAGACACACCCTCGCCCGCCCAGCGGGCTCCGCTTCTCTCTCTCTTCAAGGCCTCCTGGGAGGTGGCCTTGCTCAATCCGCACAACCTTACTCAGCCTCTTCGCTACACCAAAGGGGATCTCTCACTTCCTCTCCCCCATCCCTCTGTCCCTTTATTACTGTAACCCCCAGCTCTGACAGGCAGTGCATTGGGTCTGAACACCAGTGCCCCAGCTGAGTAACCTTGGAAAAATCGCTTAACCTCTCTGAATCCCTATTTTTTATTTGTAAAATGAATCTTAGATAAACACTCTTCTTGTTTCATAGAGTTGTTCTGAGGATTAGCTGAGATGGTGTTTAAAGCGAAAGCACTTTTTGAGTGGAAATAGCTCTTTACCCGCCAGGTATTATTTATTATAAGGGTTTTGCTTTCGCACCGATTTCCTGTCTGTGGCAGGAACTCCATCTGTGACACGCTGTCTCACTGACGTCGGTCTATTTCTTCTCCCCGCTGGGGCTCTGTTGTGCCTCGGGTTTAATGGATGTCACTCTCCTTATCGCCGCCGACATTCGCGCGGAGCTGAAAGCTCGGACCAGGGTGGGGTGGGGGATGGGAGTGATTGGAAGCGCCTTGCTTTGAGAGATACGAAGGGAATTTCACGCTGGGCCCACCGCACCAGCGCGCGCGGGCTCCAGAGGCACCCCCGTGCTCCTTCCTGCTAGCTGAACCCCGAGGGCAGGAGAGACCCTGAGGAGTTTGAGAACAGCCTGGTAAAGAAGGAAAACACAACGGCTCCTAGGTCGGCCATTCGGACCCGGAGGAAAGGCGCCTGATTCCCTTTGCCTTCGCCTGCTCCAGACCCGAGACGTCTGAGGGAAGGGTTAATGAGGGGCAGGTTGGGAAGAGGGGATCCGCGATGAGGACCGGAGGCACACTATTGTTTCCCGACTCTGGGTCCGACTGAAGAGCAGCCATGCGAGCCCGATCATCTAGTCAAATACTATTTTTCACCCAATTAATTCCTGAACTCTTCCGCGACCCCATTTCATGCCAGTTTATTTTAAGCTGCCACTCGGCTGGAGACCCGCCAAGAAATTATGAGACGTTTTGGTCCCAGATGCCTCTGTGTTCCCTTTCCGGGCTGCTGTGGTCGCCCTTCGAGTCTGCAGGGCGGAGACCAAGGGACAGGGCCTGGCGGGTGGGTGCTGGGTAACACGTGCGGCTTAGCCCGGTCTTTTGTACGTGGTCCACTCGGATCTCGCCTCCCCTCCGCCCGTCGGCGTTGCTTGGAGGCCTGGCGGGCCGCATGGGTGCTCGGCCTCTCAGAGACGCCATTCTATACCTGAAAGTGGGAGCAGGAAGGGAGTGTCATGGGCACTCGAAGGGCACGAGTCTGCCCTTCGGCCCACGTATCTGGCCTCTTGCTCCTTTCAGGAAGGAGTTTTTATCGAGGAGCACTGGCGAAAGACCTGCCTTCTCCTCCCCAGAATACCTTTGCCCTCGACCCGGTCCCCACATGCTCCGAACCTCACTGATCGCACCTCTTTTGCTTTCTAGCGTATGACACCTGGTGCGGCGTGGCCCATGGATGCACCAGAAAACTGGGGCTCAAGATCTGCGGTGAGTGGAAGGGCCCGCTGGGGCCCAGCAGGGCGGCGCAGCTCTCGGACTTTGAGGGTTTGGGAGAGTGGGGCGCAAGAGGAAGGAGATCCAGGCTCTTGGGTTTGGTTTTCTAAAGTACCTACAGCCCCGACGCCTGGCGAGAAGCCCCTCTACAAGTCTTAAACCTCCTCCGCCTTCCCTTGACCCGGCTGGGGGGTACGTTTTCGGCTGGAGTCCGGGACTCCCAAGAGACAGCGGGGCTTCCCGGGTCTAGGACACAGCGCCCCCGCGCGGCAGCCCCGCTCTTCTTGCCGGCGTCAGGGCAGATCCTAAGCGTGCGCTCTACCTGCGTGGGGAAGGAAGGTCTGGTTGAAGAGGTGAACTGGTCTGGTTTTCCCGCAGAGCAGGCCTAAGGCATGGTTTCCGCCGGAGGCGGAGGCTGGCACGTCGTCCCCCCTCCCCCGCCAGTCCCCGCCAGCATAAGTTGAAAGTGGCCTCCCCAGCTCGAGAATGTGCCCCGAGATGTCACAACGGATTCAGATTTCGTTCTTTCATTCTTTGCCTGCAGCCCTCGGTGGCCTGCCTGGGGGAGGTGCGGACGGCTCGGGCCAGAGGGTTTGCGGAGCTTGCCCTTGAAGGAGAAGGAAGGAAAAGGGGGCAGGCGGGGGCGTGGGGCCTCAAGAGGAGAAAGGGGGTGTCGGGCACGATTTGCCAGAGAGGAAGACAAATAGATCTGGGAGCTGGAGAGGAGAAAGAACCGTTCTCCGGAGACGTGAGGGTCTGAAATGAAAACGCCCAAGGGACGTCATTTTTTTTTTTTAAAGGAAAAAAGGAGACTTGTTCGAAGGGACACAGCTGAGTGGCTCCGGCTGAACAATGAGGACTTGCTTTCCTTGCTACATTTCACCGTCTAAAATCTCTAGCCTTATCGGGCCAGAAAATACGGACGTTCCCGAGCAGGGGGTGGAGGGGCGGGGGAAGATTAACGAGGGGCTTATTAAAGAGCCATCCGTCAGCGGCTGCGCGCGGGAGATAGCGGCGGAGCGGGCGCGGGGCACGCCCGCCCCAGCCCCGAGCGCCCCAGCGGGAGCCGGCCACTGAGTGTTCCCTGGGCCTGCTCTTCCAGCCTCTCTGCGTCCGGGGGCCCGAGGAAGGCGGCGGCGGGGCCCGGAGAGGACAGGGGCTACTTAGCGGCTCCGGGGAACCACCCTCCCTTCCCCGCTTTGCCGCGAGACGCCCTCCCAACGCTTCTGGGGCTCTGTCCCCTCGATCCACGGTGAGGAAGCGTTCCTCAACTCCTAGACGCGGCCATCTCCCAGGGAAAGCCCAGCCCTGCCGCGGGGCGGCCCCAGGTTTGGCCCTCTCTCCGGCCCGCGAGGCCCGCGGGGCTAGGCCCGGGCGGCGTCGGCGGGCGGGGGAGGCTGGCGGCAGCAGAGCTTTGTTCTATAAATAGCCCCCTCCCCCAGCCGCCATTCCCGGCTTAATGGCCCGTTTCGCGCCCGGTCCCTTCGGCGGCCACGGCGCTCAGCTTCTGCAGCCGTCATTGTCATGCAGGCGGGCAAGCAGAACTGAGCAAGCCCAATGCGCCCGCCGCGGTCGCCGGCAGGGTGGGGGAGACTTGGGGTGAGGGCTGCCTTCCCCGCGGTCCTGGGCCTGCCTGGCCGGCAACCTTCGTCCCTCCTGCACTCCCTGAGCCAGGCGTCGCGCCGCAGGCCGTGTCCCCTGTGGCCCCCTTCCGGAGACACGCCCTGAATGCCCCTAAAGGGTAAACGGGCAAGAAAGAGTTGAGCTTCGTTGGGTCCGCGAATAGGGGTCCCCGAGTTTGCATCAACTTACTATGAGGGAGAGCTCTTGAGCATTTGGGGGCTACCATCCGCGGAGAGTTTCTTCCCTGTTTTAAACACACACACACACCCCAACACTAATTTCAGGAAAGTTGCAACCCGTTTGACAGGAGGAAAGGGCTGGTAGTCTGTTGAGCGGGAACTTGCCTTCTGCTAAAAAGCAAGCTTTGGGGGCCACAGGTTAGGAGGCTTCACATTAGACTTGATTCTGAAAGGAAACAAAACACCAGGCGGATTTATTTCCAATACCTTGGACCAACTCTGGCTTTCCAAAGTGCAGTCTTTGGTTTGGACCTGAATCCACAGCCTCCCACCCTCCACTCAGGGACACCCCAACTCCCTTCATCCCAGACATTCGTGAGCCTGGAGGATGCCTTCTCCACACTCTGCAGGTTGGTCTGACCTTTCACATTAAGACAGCAGTAGAATTAATTTTCCTCTTCTCACCTACAAATCCATTGCCCTAGGTGACCCCCATAAACATCTTCAGTGCCTTGCCAAGATTCAACTCCCACCCCCTCTCCTACCTCCCTTCTCTGGAAGCCAGGGAAGAAAGCTGCAAAAAGGCTCTGGGTCTCACCAGTGGTACCCTTTGCTTCAGAGGCAGAATCCCCTGGGAAAATAATCAGGTAGAAGAAACCCAGGGTTTGCCAAGAGGTAGAATGGGGTAGCTACAAGCATGGTGGCATGACTTAAATAGAAGGAGATGCAGGGGCTCTGGGTTCTACTAACTTCCCAGTGTGTCCTTGGCCCTCCATCACTTATATATGCAGAGGTCCCAAACTGGTTGCCAGCTACAGCCTATGAGCTCTTTTATTTAGCCCATGCAGTGTGTGTGTGTGTGTGTGTGTGTTTGATTTTGTGTCAGTTGCCATACAACTTTCAAACAGAGAAAGACTTCAGATATTATGTATTTCTGGCTTCTGTTGAAATAAGAAGTTGGGGCGGGGGAGATCTGGCAAGGTATTTTGAGCCCAAAAAAATCAGGAAAAAAGTTCCTTCCTCCAGGTAGATGCAATTCCACTCCACAGCTTGCTGAGCAAGAGCAGGGGTTGCGGGGGGTGGAATGGGCTTTAGCCCTCCTTACCCCCTTGGCCCTGTGCCCTTCTACCATGCACAGCTCATAGACTTGCTCAAACCAAGTGCTCTCTAGTTCCCTACACTCCTCCCCTCTCAATGGGCCCCCTAGGCCTTTGAGTTTGGGGGCAGGAGTGAGGAACCAGCCTCAGGATCTCCCCTCCGCCCAAAGGAGGAGTTATCACAGGGTTTGCCTCCTGTTCTCCCCTTAAAGCTAGCGACAAGCTGACCAAAGTCAAGTGCAGCTTTGGTTTGCCTCTGCTTTTCTTTTTTGCCTCTTGGGAATGTTGAGCTGGGTTACCAGTCACTCACTGCTTAAACTAGGTCCTCACAGGTGGTATGCGGAGCAAGAGAGAATCCAATCTGCTTCAGTCTCAGGGACCCCTGCTTCCAGGACCCCTTGCTAGCCAGGGAAGTAGTCAAAGCACTGACTTCAATGTCATCCACCACCTGGTCATCCTTGGAGAAGCATACATTTCTTCTTCTTTTTTTTTTTTTTTTAAAGATTTTTTTATTTATTTGAGAGGGAGAATGAGAGAGAGAG